TCCACGACCAGGATGGAATCCGCATTGCTCCTCCTGAATCCGAGGTTTGACAGTCGGCCTAAGCCTCCTTTCCAGCACCCTAGAGGAAACTTTGCTGGGGAGGCTGAGAAGTGTGATACCTCGATAATTGGCACACACTCTCCGTTCCCCCTTTTTGAAAATGGGAACCACCACCCTAGTCTGCCACTCCACAGGCACTGTACCTGATGCCCACGCGACACTGAAGAGACATGTCAGCCATAACAGTCCAACAATGTCCAGAGCCTTCAGCATCTCAGGGCGAATCTCGTCCACACCTGGCGCTTTGCCACCGGGGAGCTTCTTAACTACCTCAGCGACCTCTACCACGGATATGGACGCAGAAGCCCCCGAGTCTTCAGGCTCTGCCCCTTCAGCAGAGGACGTGTTTACCGGGTTCAGAAGTTCCTCGAAGTGCTCCTTCCACCGCTCGACGAGATCCCCAGTCTGGGTCAGCAGTTCCCCTCCCCGACTGTACACAGCCTGGGCAAATCCCTGCCTCCCCTTTCTGAGGCGTCGGCCGGTTTGCCAGAACTTCCTCGGGGCCGACCGAAAGTCCTTCTCCATAGCCTCCCCGAACTCCTCTCACACCCGAGTTTTAGCTTCCACAACCGCCGCAGCTGCAGCCCTTTTGGCCAGCCGGTACCTGCCTGCTGCTTCAGGAGACCCCCGAGCCAACTAGGCCCAAAAGGTCTCCTTCTTCAGACTGACGGCTTCCCTCACCGCCGGTGTCCACCAGCGACTTTTGGGGTTGCCGCCGCTAATAAAAGATTGCTGTATCACATCTAAAATCATATCTGTGTATTATTTTCGCCCCATCAGATGTCATGAACACATCCTGTTTAAATTAGTTTCGCTCTTTTAACAGGTAGAATAAACACAGATTATCATTTGTCTAAAGCAGCACTGACAGAGACTGATTCACGGTTTGCACATATGTAAAATACCAAATTCAAAGAGTGAAGTAGCTGAGACATGACGCAGACTCGAGAATATAAAAATGAATTTAATAGTAAAAAAAGTAAAACTCTTCCTTAACATGCTTTACTTTTGGCAATCCAAGGCAAGTAAAGCCATGACATTTAAGGTACATTTGGTGGATTACCAACTGACATGATGGCAAACTTTGTAACAGCCTCAGAGACAACAAAAATTAAGTACAACTTTGATTTATCTGTTCAGATTAAAACAAACAAACAAACAAAAAAACAGCATCAGTAGATAGCAAAACAGCACAGTCGATGTATTTTGTAATACATTACATATATTAATAAACCAAAGGAATGAGCAGTCATGGATCAGTTTTGGAACAATAAATAACAGTCTTACTGGTATATAACAAGTTGTCATCAAGTATAAGTGCAGTAATGGTGATATCTGATCACTCTAATAAAGAAATCTCTTTTAGAAAATGATGTAACATCAACAGGAATGAAAAACGTGTCTCAAATGCATATTTCTTCATATTGAAAACGCAAAATATCATGAACAGAGAACTCTGGTTTAGAGGAAGGAAACATGAACTTCTGTAACAAAGTAACAGGATCTCCTTCTGAATGTGCTTCGTCCAGTAAACCACAATGGAAATAATAAACATGTACTGCAGTCGCTCCTCGGTCATAGAGCAGCGATGGCTGTGAGTGTTTCAGTTCGCTGAAGGTCTCTGTCTGCAGCCAGCAGGTGGTCCGAGGAGCTCTCAGCCGGGTGGTCAGCGGAAACTTCAACAGGTTCTTCAGGTAAAGCCGAGTAGGTCGGGACAGCGTTGAACATGACGAAGCCCACAGTGATGACGACAAACGAGACGATGTACAGAGCTGAAAACTGAGGATGAGACACACAACAGAGGTGTTACTCAAACTTTCAACATTCTGTTCCAGTCTGAGTTCTTAATTTATTCCATGTCGCCATGTTAGTGGGTTTGAAAGGCATATTATCTTTAAAAAAAAAAAATCACTAAAATTAATATTTATCAGAGCAAGAAGCAGAAAAAATGCCAGATTTTTCAGTTTTCTTTAGTTTCATCAAGACAATTAACCAGATCTAAGCATAACAGTTTACATGACATTTTATCAAAATCACTTCTTTCTCCATGTCTTGTTTAAAAAAACTGCCAAACAATAAACCATTTGCTCTGACTAGATTCTGTAAAAAAAAAAAAATTCTGGGCTCCTCAGCACAAGTAAGACATAATTACTGACTTAGTTACAACCAACAGCTATGTGACAAAAATTCATTGACTTTTTGGCTGAACTGCAAGCTGTGTTTATACAGAGCAGTAAGGAGACAAGTATGGAAACAAATTGAACATGTAAAAAGTAAAATATCTCTAGTATGTGGAGACTCTTTTTTTTTTTCTAGTATTGGCAGCACATGTGGGCTCCTGGAAAAAAATGTTGTACATGTTGATTCCAGGGTTTTTCATTTTTTGTTAAATAAATATTTAAAGGAATGTAACTTTCATTTTTATGATTGATGGCATTATAACTGTCATACTGTACCATAGACATTGCTGAGTTCTCTCTCCTTCTCGTTGTGGTTGTGCTGTTTATATTTAGGTGCAGGACTTCATATTGAGGTGAAAAATGAGCCANAGACACTCTCAGGCACCGGCTCTTTGTGCATCACTCTCGGGACCCCCCTTCCTCGGATCACAACAACAAAGACTTCACTCCACCACCTTCCTTAAATAAATCCGTTTTCCTTTAACCCTTCTCCCCGTCTCCCTTTTCGTTTGGGTCCACCCGCACTGTCACCGAGCACGAATCGTCACACTAAAGAAACTCCGAGAGACAAACAAGAAACCCTACCTCTAAAAACACCTCCAAATATACTTCTACAAAACAAATTGACCATCCTTGAACCACTTAAAAAACCACTATAAATGACCCCCAATACCTACCTTTTACATTCAAACTCAACAATTAAAACCATCCTCACAACAATAAACCTCAACCTGATCCAAACCCCTCACCTTAACAAATCCTTAAGCAAAAAATAAAATAAAAATAAAATATTTAACACCCACCCTTATCTACTTTCCCATAACAACCCCTCCCCACCTCCTTTCCTAACCTCTAAAACCCCCCCTCCCTCTCCCCCACCTCTTCCACACCCTATCACACCTCCAAACACCACCCTGACAGGATCCACCATAACCAGTTCCCTGAAATCAACCCACGCACCCAAGAAAAACCACCCCACCTACTCTCCTCCATCATCTTCACCTACGCAGAAGAGAATGCAACCCCATTTCTAATCAAGAAATCAAGAAAGAAAAAAACAAATTAATCTTCATTCCTAAAACCACAAACGTCAGAAACCTAACACCCAAAGGGTGAACAAGATGACACTAACCTACAACAAGGTGAACGGAGAGCATTGACGACATGCGATGGCCAGTGCATTGCCTTTACTTCCTACCCCAAACTGCTTTGTCGTCGGACACGGCAGGGGAAGTTATCGAGATAGATTTAAAAAACCTATCTCTAAGGCTGAGCCCAGCCACCCTGTGGAGGAAGCTCATTTTGGCCGCTTGTATCCACAACCTTGTTCTTTTGGTCACAACCCAAAGTTCGTGACCATAGGGGAGGGTTGGGACGTAAATGGACTGGTAAATCGAGAGCTTCGCCTTGCAGCTCAACTCTCTCTTCACCACAACGGTCCGGTACAGCGCCCGCATTACTGCGGACGCCGCACCGAGCTGCCTGTTCATCTCACGCTCCATTTTCCCATCACTCGTGAACAAGATCCCGAGATACTTAAACTCCCTCGCTCGAGGAAACAACTCCCCCCCACCCAGAGGTGGCAATCCACCAATTTCCGGCAGAAAACCATGGCCTCGGACTTGGAGGTACTGATCCGCATCCCTGCCGCCTC